TCGCTAAGCCTTTAAAAATTTTGCACGTGGAGAATATGAAACAAAATATTTTTTTTAGGTTTTATATATACTTTTGAATAACTAAAAATTCATAAATTATTGCATCAATTCCACAGAATTTTACTGTAATTTATCAAACGTAGTAATTAAGCTGCATTTGGGTCTAAAACAAATATGAAATTTTGAGCAGACTAAAGACACAACCTACCTCATTGAAATCTTGATTTAAAAGACAGAAATGACACTAGGTATGTTAGAAAGGCTTAGAAAACCACTAGGGGGACATTCTGAGATTCCAATTGGTTATTCATGTTATATATGGAAGTAAGTGTATATAAGGGAGCATTTCCAAAAATGGAAGGAGGTGACTGGGGTGCCACTATGTTTCATTTATTATGTGAGCAATATCTGAATTAATAGAAAAGATAATATGTTCTTATTTTATATTCTAGCTTGTTAATATCTGTAATTTGAGTTTCTAATTTGTATGAAACTATAGACTTAGTATTTTGGCTTTTTAAACATCTAATTTGAACCAGTGCTGCATTCAACATACCACATAACACACAAAAACCGATGTTTATCTGTGTTTTTTAATATTTATCCTTAAATTAACCCTTTGAGTAATGTACAGTTCTAACATTTTAATTATAATCTACAGTTTGATACCAAACTTATTGACATAAATTCATGAAATAATAGTTCAATAAAATTTTGAATGTGAGTTAACAAACAAGATGACATGGCCTTTCACCTGTGACCCCTATCGAAAGGGTTAATATGCCACTTGTGTCCTCCTCCTGCAGCTTGGATCGTCCAGTAGAGCTGAGGTGAGCATGCACTACTAATGCTTGCTCTCCTCCTGTGGTCATGTCTGCTCAGTTGAGTCAAGGTGAGCACACTCTAAACATGTGCCCTCTTCCTGTGAATGTCATCTGTTGAGTTGAGGCAAGCATGCACTAAGAAACCATGCCTTCCTTCTTTAACTAATGTCTGTTCAGTTGAGTTGTGGTGTGCACACACACCATACTACTCTCCGTGGCATGACTATTGTGCTCTCCTTCTGCAGCTGGTGTTGGTCCAATAAAGTCTGATGGTAGAGTTGATGCGAGTTCCCCAACCACGCTACACATATTGGCTCTCCGACCTCTTGTGTGCAAGTAATTGATTGCCCATGTTCTTATTCTGCCATCCCAGCAACACATAGGGCTTGTTTTCCTCTTCCTCCCTTATTCCTGGGCAAAGAGTATACCCTGGAAAATATAAGATGCGTTCTCCCATGGGTGTGCCCTTATGGAGCCTCTGTCATTGGATGTCACACTCCATGAGCTTCCTTCTGTTGCTTTCTGAAGGGAACTTATCTAGGTAAATATTTGAACTGGTGCCTTCACCACTTCATTGTGGGATTTTAGCTTAACTCTGTGCAGGGGTGTGGTATTGTCTCAGAAGTTAACATTTTCCTTACCTGAAAATGTGTTTCTGATAGATATCTCTGAACATACATTCCCACCCATCCTCTTCACTTCCAGTGCACATTTCTTACTTACCTCTTCAAAGAATGAAGATTCATGAGTGCAAATGCATAGGGGCCGTTAATGCACAAGGAAGTGTGTCACCATCCTATTGGTGGAGGGATTTTGCTGCATTATGAAGTAGCACAATTCATGAGAAAATCTCATGAGAGTATGTAGGAATTTACTAAAAGTTAGTGGCATGCAAATCTTTAAGGGAGGAGCACAGGGAAGATAACTTAATTGGGTGAATAGGTGTGAGTATCTATTGGAAATATACTTTCAGGAAAGGAAAATGTTAACTTTAGTTAAAATGTTTAGTTGGTGTGTTTCCATCTCTAGTTTGTTTTGTTTTTCTGTAACATTTTTAATATACTTCTTGACTTACCA